TTTGGGCCAGCAAGTTTGTGAGGGTGAAGGATGATAATAAACCATAACCCTAAATTTCATAGTGTACTTGAGGAATACTCACATGACATTATATACACGTACATATATGTATGAAGGAATATGAAAATGTGAAAAAAATGAAAAGAAAAAAAAAAAAAGGGAAAATATATGTGAAAAGCATGACAAGATGCTGTTCCTCACTTCTGTTTCTCCAGTTCCACACTGCCAGTTTGCAGCTATTCTGTGTGTTGCTCTTTTTAATCCAGGATTTCAAGGGACCTGGTGCTCACTAATCTATTGCCATGGGTGCCTGTGGGGACAGCCTCCCTCTGACACAAACAATGAAACTCGGAAGGCAGCAGTTTATGAGGCGAGAGCGTATGTTTCCCCATTACTAATCGACTTCAGCTGGCAGGATTACAACCTCAAGCCTGTAAGCAAGCTTTTCTTCTCCTACAGATGTCAGGTTTAAAGGAAAGGAAATCATTATGATAAAAAAAAAAAAAAAAAAAAAAAGTCATATGGCCTCAATTCTTCACTTCCTGCTGCAGAGGGGTAATGCTGGCTGAATCTGTGGTCCTTGCCCAGCACAGACCCATCACAGGGGCTGCACACATTGCTAGGATCACAGCAGCTAAATAGCAACGGGAAAAATAACATTACAGCAGTGGAAAGGCTGATAGCATGCAGGGTGTGAGCAAGGGGTGATGTGTCTGGTGGAAGCCCCGCATCTCCAGGGGGAAATGCTGGGCTGGGCTGGGCTGAATGCATCACTACCATCCGCTGGAGACACCATTGCAGGGTGCGTGAGCAGCTGCAGAGATAAATCACCATCTCCTCATTCAAAAAAACACATTTTTCATTTTTCTTGGCCCTGATTGCAGTGTTCTTCACAGACCCACCCATGTAGCTGCTGTGCTGTCACCATGACCCATGTAACTAAGGCAACCCGCTTCTGCTATCGGGAGGATACACAAACCCAAAAACCTGAAATGATGAGCAAAAGCCCAGTTGTGGAGCATGCACTGCACCACCACACATAGCAACAGGGCCTCTCGTGGGCTGGGAGAGGGAAACTGTAAAGGGAGGTGGCAGGCACCCTGCTGGGCTCTGCAGGTGGGAGATGGATGTGGATGCTGCTTCAGTTCTGCTTTATTCTAGTAAGGGACACCCACGTGTAGTCAAACTGTGCTTGGGAACATCACACTTCTCCTAGATTCCGGTGCCAAGAGCTGTTAACTCCTGGTCAATTCCTCACCCAATTCATTAACTCATATTATTTTAAAGGCAATGAAGACACTTTTCTTCTTTTCCTAAGCTGAGCTGCCTGGTTTGAGGGCAGTTGATGTCACCATTGCTTTGCTTTAAGACCATTCCTGTGCAACTTTTGCACGGCCACAATGCAAATGACAGCAAATTATGGTATGTTAACGCACTGGGCTTTTCTTTTCTGTGGTTATCTGTGTAGCAAGCCCAGTGTATGTAGAAGGAAGGAGAATTCTTATAATGGACATACAGTGAAAACCAGGACTGGTGCTGCAAGAACCCATTTTTTTTATCTACAGTTTTTGAGTGTTCTTTTTTTCCCCCATGCTAAGACAAGCTGATGGCTGTGGCAACAAAGGTTCTGTGCTTCCCATGGCTCGGTGCAGATCACCCTGATGAAAGCCAAAGCAGGAAGACGAACCCCAAAGGGGGCTGCTGACCCCCACCTGCAGGTGTGAGCCTCACTGAAAAGCAGATTTTGCTTTGCACCGGACCGTTTGAAGCAAGGTGTGCACAGACATGCTGCGTCCTGTAGCTTTCCAGACCGGGGGCCTTCCTGCAGCTGTTTCTTGTAGCTCTCCTTTTTTCCTGCCAGATTGCTCTGTTTGAAGTGGTGTCCCATTTCCTGTGCACAAAGACCCTTCCCCGCTGCATTTTGGAGCCCTTTTTAGAATGATATAATAATAATAACAGTAATAATAATGAAAACTCAGCTTAGGCTCTGTCTCTGGTCCTACCTGCTTCAGATCCCTTATTCTTATGGAATCTCTTGGGCATGAATTTTGACATTTCAGTGGCCAGAGTATTTGTCCAGACAGTGTCAATCTGGACCATTCCTTTGGCAAGAAAAAGCTAAATGTTGCTGAAGTTAGATAAATTGCTGCTGCTGGCTATCACGCTGGATCAGGAAGTTGTAAAGAGTGGCAAAATCAGTGTGGCACAGAGGAAGGGATGCCAGTGCTGCTGGGTGCCACCTCTTGATGCTGTGGCTTTCTCCAATAGCCCTTTGGCGGTGTGCAATGGTCAGACCCTACGAAATGATGGAACTGAGACTGGGAAGAGGGAGTGGGTCAAGAGGAAGAAAATGGGGTAAACAGACTGACTGTAGGGGACAGTGAGAACGATAAGGGTGGGCAGTGCTGCTGCAGAGCTGTGTAGGTGGGATACCCCAAGGAGAAGGTGAGGGAAGGCTTCGTGGTGATGCTGAATGGATGTGGAGCTGAAGTGAACGCGCTTGGCCAGGACCCACATTAGAGGCTGGGGTCCAAACCAGGCGTCTGGGGGCTTCTGGGGAGGGGGGGAGATGGCACTGGGACTGGGCGTGCTTTGGAGAGGAGAAGAGCTGCAAGGTGGGGTCCATCATAGCCACCCCATCCCCACCACGGAAACACATAGACACGAGGGTACGGCGAGGCTGGCGTCCCACGCAGCATTACAGATCGGGCTCCGCTCTCAGTGGGTCCCAACCCGGCGGGGCGGAGCGGAGCACACCGCGGCCGGAGGCGGGCGAGAGGCGGAGCGGCGAGGGGGCGGCGGGCGCACTCCCGGGGGAGGCACCGGAAGGCGCCCGGCGCTGAATCATTGCAATAAATTGGTCCCGGCGAGGCCGGGCTCAGTCATTGCCGTTCGAGACGCAGTGGGAGCAACGCAGCCCGGGGAGCTGGAGCCGGGAGGGAGCGAGGGAAGGACGGAAGGAAGGGGCGAGGGAAGGAACGAGGGAGGGAGGATGAAGATGCAAGCCGAGGTGATCCGCGAGGGCGAGCTAGAGAAGCGGAGCGACAGCCTTTTCCAGCTGTGGAAGAAGAAGCTGGTAGTGCTCACCAAGGACAGCCTCAGCCTTTTCCCCGACGGGCACAAGCGGGCCAAGGGCAAGGAGCTGGGCTTCGGCTCCATCCTCAAGGTGGACTGCGTGGAGCGCACGGGCAAATACATCTACTTCACCATTGTCACCAAAGACCGCAAGGAGATTGACTTTCGGTGCCCGGACCAGAGCTGCTGGAACGCCTCCATCACCATGGCTCTCATCGACTTCCAGAACAAGAGGGCCATCCAGGACTTCAAGAGCCGTCAAGAGATGGAGCAGGCAGCGGGCACCCAGGAGCGGCGACTGGCCCGGGCGCCCTGAGCCCCCAGGTGAGCTCACACCCCCATTCCTCCCCCCTCTAACAAACCCACAGAGATACCTCTAACCCCTGCACAACAATCCTTACCTATGTATCCCCTGCACACCGTGCTTTGGGTGCCACAGCGAGGCAGTGGGGCTCCCACGGCCGCTCCTCGTGTTTCCCAGCGCAGAGCCGGGTGCGGCACCCTGAGCGCAGCGTGTGCTGTGCCTGCAGCTCTTGTGCCCAGCTCCTGGGGCTCACTCACCCTTCCCGAACCCCGTGCTGGGAATTCCGGGTGGGAGATGGGCACAGTGCTTGGAATGCTGAGCGGTAGGCAGACACGTGTCTGTGGCGGGGAGTTATCGGGGTAGGAAATGGCACTCAGCAGCGCTTTCCTTGCCGAACGCCCTGTAGAGACGCCGCAGATGCCGCGATGAGTGCTGAGTGCTTCCTGTCCCTTCAGAGCCCTTTATTTTAATTCTTCCCCTGCCCTTTCATTTAACTAACCTGCTTCCTCTTGCTGCCTTCAGAGCATACTGCTGGATGGTAAACCAGAGCAAGTGTCTTGGACTGAAAAGGGACAGGGTACCAATGAAGGAAAGCGCGGAAGATAGCTGGGAGCAGCTTGGTTTTCTCCAGGCCTGTGGAGGCTGCTGAGCAAAGAGCCCTGAGCTTTGCCTGAGATGCATTTTGAAAAAGAAAAAACCAAAGACTTTCATACGGGACTTCCAGCGAAGCGCCCACGTGCTTTGGGTGGCGCGGCTTCGCGAACGGTTCTCTTCTATTTATGAGACGCAAGGAAGATTCAACACTGACTGGTGGTGTTTGACACAATTTAAATTATTTGTAGTATCTATATTTGTATTTATTTTGATGAATGTCTTTCAGCAGTTATTGGTCTTAATATTGCTTTTGCATTAATATGTCCATTCCAAATAAATTACTTGAAATGTTCACTTTTTATTACTACACGTGGTGGTGTGGTGATTTTTGTGGGTGCTGTTTGTGGTGTGGGGGCTGTAAGGCAGCAGTGGCCTGGATGTGGCTGTGGGGTGAAGAAGCCCCTGATAATCCATCTGCAGGGGGAGAGCATGGAGGAAAAACGCACTGAGGGCCAGGGAGGGAATGCAGGAGCCTTCTGTTTGCCCAATCAGGGCTTTTTTGGGATATTTTCTGTATAGTTGAGTAATGGCAGTTAAAGGAGGCACAAAATCTCCCTGTAACCATACCATGTTCTGCCTGCTGGTGCCTGGCCCCAGCTCTAGATAAAGTGCCTAGGAATGAATGAGGTGCTCTTTTCCTGCAGTCCAAGAAGCTGTGCTCTTTTGGAAAGGGGAATACAACCTGTTGAAGTTTTGTCTTGTGAGGCTCAATGCCTACTAACTGACCTGTATGCTCAAGAGCATCCAGCAGTGCTGAGCTCTACTGACAGGCAGGGTTGCAAAGTGCTCTCTGCAAATTCTTCAAGCTTGGTAATTCCCTTTGGGTAACTTTCCTGCTGCCACTATCAGTTAGTTCTTGAATGAGACTGGAGGCAGCTGCAAGGTATTTAGTTATGAGCAGCCTGCAGTGAGAGCAGAAGGGGCTCAGTGTGAGGTTGTGCCTCCAGCACAAGAATGCCCGAGAACATACAACAACGTTCCTTTCTTTATTTCGGTGGAAAAACAGAAGTGGCAACTTTGGAGAATTAGTGGCTTTTTGTCTCTCTCAGTGGGTTTTTGCTCTTTAAGAGATAAACAAACAAACCGAGATTGACAATGAGCTGCAAGTAGCCAAAGGAGGAGACTCCATATTGCTCGTACAGAATGACACCGAGGGTTGGGCCCACCGTTCTCGTCAGGGGATGGACAGAGGCGCAGATCCCCAGCATGGTCCCTAGGAGAGACAGCAGAGATGTCAGGATGAGGGTTAGTAGCCTCCCTCTGCTGCGGTAGGAAGCAGCCTCAAACCATTAATGGGAGCCTTTGGCACTGGCAGGTGCTCCTGAACCCATTGGGATGGGATGGGGTGAGGTGGAGTGGGATGGGGGCAGCTTCCAGGGACACTCTGAAGCCTTCCAAAGAAAAGCATACAATTATTTTCAATATCATAATTAGCAGCTGTGGGCAGCTAAGGGTCCCAGCTATTGCTATGTATTCTCTCTCATGGAGCAGAAAAACAGACACTTAGGAGTGCATCAGGAGCTAGAAAGGTCTAACTACATCTGTAAGAATAGCTAACTAAAAGCAGAAGAAGATTCTGAGCCCCTGTGAGATCACACAGCCTTGCAAATGGAGTGGATGTTTCCATTTGGATGGCAATGGGAGCCTTTCACCTGGCTTGGCCGGTTCTCCTTCCAGTAGAGCATGCATTTACATGGTGAACAGGAGGAAGTACCTCCACTGGGGCAAGGGCAGGTTTTTCCACCAGGATGTCACACGGGATGCAGCCACGACTTTAGGCTTCTCACCATGCAGGCCAGAACTCCATTAGCCCACACTAAGTATGGGCAAGGAACTTAGGTCCTGCTTGGAAATGGTGTTCTCAATCATTATTCTTACTACCAATTCTGAGCTATTGGCATCAATTTTTCACCAGTACATGACTGAATCACCACCTATGGCATTCAGGAGAGGGGAAAAGCTGTCCTGCTTGCAAGGTATAGATCCCAGTGTGCTACCTGTATGGTGACCATGGAGAAATGATCCCAGCTTGGAGGGAGGACAGGCAGACATGGGTTGGTGCCTGCAACTGTTGCACTTCTGTCAAAAATGCTTAAAATACTTGTGCAGTGAGCCCAAACGGAGGGTGTAGGTGTGACATACAGAGAGGGAAGTCTCCCTGAAGAGCTGCCCAGCTCCTCCTGCACATGGGAACAGCGATGGGTGGGACCTCAGCCTGACCCTTTGCCAATGGGAACAATCCCACAACCACTAAACTTTCTGGGCAGGTTTTGCAATTATTTTTTTTCCCCTCTGGGTATTTGAATTAAACTAATTACTATGTGCAATTGCCAAACTGGCTCTCATGGTTGAGGAGGCACTTTTTTCTTTTTTTTTTTTTGAGCTGAAATCCGTCCTCTTGAAAGGCTGGGCTCTCCTCAGCAGGCCTGTAACACATTGCTGAGAAAGATAATTTCTATTTAATGGGTTTAAATTAGATCCCTCGTGTCGGATGCCCCGGAGCTTTGAGACACTGTAAATCAGCCCTTGCTCCATTTCCAAGCCGCTCATGTGATGGATCCCAGTCAACTTCAGAACTTTAACAGTAACAAGTCATCACACCAGTAAAAAAGCCTCTCCTCTCCCCTCCCCTCCCCTCCTCTCCCCTCCCGGCTGTGGGGATGGTGGCTGAGCCTCGCTGCAGGCTCTTCTCCTAAGGCTTTGTGCCTGATGTGCAAATCAAATCACGAGACATAGGTCCAGGATGCTGCCCTGCTCTGCTTCCTCCCTGCCTCCATGCATAAAGCAGTAACAAGACCCCCATTCTCGGGGGACAAGGAGTGCTTGTGTGGCTGTGGGCCCGCCTTGGCTTGGGGCTGTGCTCCCACCAGCTCACACACCCAGTGGAGCAGCACACATGTGTGCCGTGCAACATTTTCCCTTCCTGCCTTTGAAGATGGGGAGGGAAAAAAAATATCAAAGGGAAACGAATGAAATCATTTTCACTCTGTTTCCTTCTGTGGAATTCATCAGCCTCTGTAGGAGTGGCCTTAAATGGGTCCTCTGCAGAGCCAGTTTTGGGTTGGCAGAGGAAGGAGCTTTAACTGCCGTCCCTTTGGAGCAGTACCCCTGTGCTGGAGCGTCATTGCATGGCGGCATTGCCCCCAGGGACACCCACGCCACAGCTGCTGCAGGGAGGCAGCTTGCAGGGCCACGGCTCTGCTGTGTCAGACATTCCTGTCCTGCTTGGGAACAGAGCCTCCTCCTTGGGGAACACCGAGAGGAGGAAGCATGTCGTAAGGATAAGGGGCAGGAAGGACCAATGAAGATGGCTTTCCTCCAATGCTGCCATCCTCCATGCCAGCTGTGCCCCTCCTCATCATACCTGGTTTTGATCCAGGAGCACGTGGCACAGCATCAGCCTGGGATGGATGGGCACAATAGATCCCATACCCTCCCAGTGTCCCAAAATGTCCTCCTGCCACCTCATGGGCTGTCTCCATCCCGCCCATCTGCGTCCATCCCATCCTGTCGTAACAACATACGCAAGCGAGGACCAGGGTGAGGCAACTAAGCCCATTTTCCTCTCTGACTGAATTTCACCTCTAGGCTGGCTTTAACAGCCGAGCAATGCTCCATTTTTCCTCACAAAGCCCCTTTGAGCAGAATCTGGATGAGTTCCAGCCTTGCTTCATGCCCTAGAGCCCCTTGGTGCCTTTCCTCCAACATTCCCCCTCCCTGATGAGTGCTGCTCCAAGCCATGAAGCAGCAGATTTGCTCCCGGCACACCCCATCCCTTGCCTCCATGCAGACCCAGGGCTTCTCTCAGGTGGAAGAGCTGTCCCTTAACGCTGTGGGATCCCAGCATTCATAACAAAACCATAGAATCATTTGAGGTGAAAGGGACCTTTAAAAGTCATCTAGCCCAACTCCCCTGCCATGAAGGACAAGCAGAGGCAATCTTCAATTCTACAAATAAACTTCTGGAGTGACATTTAGAAAAGCTCTTCATCCAGAAGCATCTCCAAAGTGCTTTATAAACTTCATTAATGGACTCTAAATCTGATTCTCAGTACGATCCTGAAGCATGGAAGTATCTTTGTCGACTGCAGAAATACTGCATGTGTGAAGATTTGTGCCCCAGTGTACAGAGAAATGCAGTGACTGTTCACAGAAACATGGCCAAAGGGGAGAGAGGTAAAGCAGATGGCTTGGTGCTGAGTTAGGGATGATGGCACTGGACTCAGTGTCTGCTTTGTGAGGGAACTGCTCACGAAGAGCAATGCCTATTGGGTTGGGGACCTCACCTTGTGCAGGCCAAATGGTGCTGAAGGTGCCCAGTACCTGGTGGCCTGGGAGCAAGACGCTTACTCAGCACTGTTCAAATACCACTACCTGGTGGACCCAAAGAAGGGAAAAAGACAAGTTTGATGATTGTGATGAGCCTTACCGGTGTCAGAGGAGGGCACGGCCTTGGTGAGAATGCTGTCAGTGATGGTGCCCTGCACGTTAAAGGCAAACACCAGCGGCACCACGATGATGCAGTAATGCCATATGGTCTTCATCAGGGCCTAAGTGACAAGACACAGTGGAACATGGATCATTAGAGAGCACAGAGAGCAGCTTTGCAGCAAGAAGCAATACAGAAAACTATCTTAAGCCGAATCTATGACTTTTAGGCAAATTGTGGGAGACACAACTGATTTGTGATGGTGCCATTTTGGCCATCTCAAGGTCTTCCATCCTTTTTCTTCTAGCGCTTTCCCCACATTTTCCTTTGATCCCCACCCTTTTACCACATTTCCCTTGTTTTCTTTGGTTTTCACTTATTTTCCCTTGTTTTCAACTCTTCACCATTGTTTTCACCTGTTTATCCATGTTTTTCCTTTTCTTCGTTTCCTATTTTCCATTGTTTTCCCCTATTTTCCCCTATTTTTCACTATTTTCAACTGTTTGCTCATTTTCCCATTTTCCTTTCTTTTTTTCCACTGTTTTCCCTTGCTTCCCCCCCCCCTTTTCCCTTGTATCTAACTCTTTACCTTTGTATTACATGATCTTTTCTTGTTTTCTCTTGTATTTCTTCGCTTTCCCTGATTTTTCTTTGCATTCCATTGTTTTTCCATTTTTTCCTTCTTTTCTGCTGTTTTCTCCTGTTTTCTGTTGTGTTAGCTTTATTTTCACTGTTTACCACCGTTTTCTCCTATTTTCCACTGTTTTAACCTGTTTGCTCTTGTTTTCCCATTTTCTCTTCTTTCTCCACTGTTTTTCCTTGTTTTCCTCTCTTTTCCCTTGTATCAAACTGTTTACCCTTGCTTTTCCCTGTTCACCATGGTCTTCCCTTGTTTTCTACGGTTTTCCCTGGATTTCTTTGCTTTCCCTGTTTTTTTTTCCTTTGCATTCTCTCATTTTTGCCTATTTCTTTTCCCTTCTTTTTTTCCTTCCTTTCCAATATTTTTCCACCATTTGTGTGCTGGGAATCATTCTAAGGATGCAGCACAAGGAGCAGCCCCTGCCCTGTAATCTGGCAGTATATTCTCCAGCACTGCCGTGGGTATTTTTAGTGTCTGGGAATTAGTGACATCCCCACGCCCTCCCCCAGGACTCTGTCTCTTGTCCAAGTCCTAAGGAGATGTTCTGCAGCAGATGCATGCAGTGTACTTCAGGAAGCCTCCATTACTTACACAAAACAGCCTAGAGAAGGCATTTCAGTTCATTATCATAAGTAATTAAAACCAAACTAAGCTTGTCAAAATAAATGAACCTGGAGCATTATGTAATACCATACCTTTGGGATTTCTAATCCTGTTCTTCTGCTTCCTTACTAATAAATTCATCAAATTCAGTAATCTGGAATAGGTCTTCCGGCCATAAGGCGCACATTAGCGAGCATAATTAGGGAGAGTAATGATTTTGTTATTGCACATATTCTTAGTGAAGACATCCCTCCAGCTGTTTAATACTTAAAACAAAAGTGGTGAGGATCCCTCAGCGGCGGAGCTGGAGCGGCTCTCAGCCCTGCTGGTCAAATAAATAGATTTCTCTGGGGCATGAAAAGGAAACTCCTGCTTCCTTGCAAGTCTCTGCCCTCACCCGCGTCTCAAGGTGTGTTATTGTGGCTGGAGAACAACTCAGTCACTGGCCAAGCCAGAACTTTCATTCTCTGGGGTTCTTGCTCATAAAATCTGGTCTGTGCCTCTTGGCTACAGAAGATGGAGCAGCCCAGAGCCATCGCTAACTAATGACTTGGAAATAGCGAGGTTTATTTCTAGTTCCCCTCTGGACTCGTACATGGCAAGGTTTCTCTCCTTGGAGGGGCACTTTACCTATGTTTTGCTTAAGAACTAGGAATTCCTGCTTAGGGAACTGGAGAACAAAGGCAGAGAAGCGGGTATTTGGTACATAAACATCCAGACAGGGAGAGAGTAAGTCCTAGTTAGGGCAAATGTCATTGCAGGACAACACAGCAGTGGTAGGAAAAAAAAAAAGGCAGTGATGATCCCCCTCCTTCTAAGAGCGTCCTCACGGGCTGGAGATTGAAGGAAATAGCCAGAAAGAGCAGACCCAGGGCTGAATGTCTTGGGAAATATCTTCTCACTGCCTTAGGAGGATTGGGTCAGGTGAAGTGTACTACTGGCCATCCACCCTCAGCTGAGCAGAAATCAGCCTTTTCCACCAGTGCAGATCTGGGAGAATTGCCAAGGCAGGGAAGGCAGATCCTGCAGTTTCAGCAGCTGGGCTCAAAAGCCAGTGCCTGGGAACTAGAGGGCAGGAGGGAGGGAGGATGGGGCATAACCATGCCTTAGGACAAAGCAAAGGACTTCCGTCACATCCTTTATAAGGACTCTTTGCTCAGTGGGGCCAGCAGCTGCATCTGCCTATGAATAGCTCTCGTGGGATGTCATTGCTGACCCCTGTCCTCAGGCCGTGCTGTCAGGATGTCCACAGTCCTCCAGGCATGGTGTAATTGTCAACTCTCAAACCAACAACTTCCCTTCCCTGCTTTCCCTTTTCTACACAGCCACATTGGCTTCATGTGTCCCTCCACCACTGGCTCTGTGGTGGAAAATGGGAATTACTCTTCCCAGATCATCCCATCCCTTGGGCAGCATTGTTGGTTGCCGCAGTGTTGCTGGTAGAGCTGCCCCTGTCAACGGGATTTCCCAGTTGACTTCTGAGGCTGCTTCTCACCCATCCAAACACAAACGGCGATGGGTAACACCAAAACAGAGGAGCTAAGCTATTTCCTTGCTACCTACTTCCCCAAAAGCTCTAAGCTTGGAGGAATTAGTAAAACAAAGCCAAAAAGATGAGACAACATCCTCAGCTGTCTCAGGGTATAGCACAACCGCAGTGGTTTTCCTCCCCATAATCTGCATTTACTTTCTGGGCAGTTCAGGAAGTGGGGCCACTCGAGGACGGAAGGCAGGACCTCTGTGCAAATCCAGTGACTCAGGACGGATGCATGGGTTTCTGTGCGGGATTATTGCTCTGTAATCCCTGCAGCTATTACTCACACAGCTCCTTATCGTTGTCGAACGCTGTGTGTTTGCAGAGGCCCAGTTCAGCCGGCTCCCCCCAAGCACAGCTTGGCAAAGCCATGGTGGCACTGCCAGTGACAAGTAGGCTCTTTGCCCACCTGCAAACCATGATGGAGAAATGCCCCTTGGATGACTCCTCAGCAAATCTTACCATGCCCAGCCCCACGCCGGCGAAGATGAAGACGCTAAGCTTGAGCAGGGTCTGCTCCGTGAAATGGCTTGTGAGTTTTCCAATCACTAGGCCTTGGACAACCTGAGGAAGAAGCACATAGGCAGCGTCAGTCCTGCTTATATTGATGGAAACAAGCTAAGAGTGCAAATAAAAAAGAGAAAATGCATTGTTTCCTTGCTTTCCTGGGAAGAGAAAAAGGGACTTTACTGTTGCATTTAATGACTTGAAGACATTTACCATGATTTTGAGCGTTTTATATCTTAGTGATAAGTCAGATGATGATCTCTCTATTGAGTGATGCTTGCATGAGCTTTTTGTCACTTCTCAATCAACAGTGTTGACTGAAACTACTTAAAGGCACCTGTTGATAAAACTGAATTTTTTAACTTGAGATTTTCCTTGTGAAATCACTTGGTGAGATCTTCCAAAGCAGAACCACACTACTGTATGCAGAGGAGAACACCTCCTCTCCTGGACCTTCTCTTGCCATTATTTTACACTGTAACTACACAAATTGAGCAGTTCATCATTTTATACAGGAAACAAGAATGACAGAGATGCTAATATCCAGACGCAGCAGTGCAAGCAGGCACAAGAGATGGGGAACTGGTTTTGCAGATTTTAAGCAAAAACCAGGGGAGAGGGGGTGGAAAGGAGGAGTAAAAATGTAAATCCCAAGGAGTATTTGTCTTTTACATAGCTTTGGAGAGCAGCCTAAAGAAAAACTTGGTGCTCAGATTTGACTTGGACCACTACTATGCCACACTCAGCCTTACTGTGTTAATCCTAAGGGAGGAACCCAAAATCCACCAAAGGGAAACTGGTGCAAAATAAATAAGGAAGGAAGCTATTAAAAAGAAATGTTAATTTATGGCTAACTGTCTGGAAGAAAAAAGAAAACAGAGTATAAATACTAAAACAAGAACAAATGGTAAAAAGCAAATAGCAACAGGGTGAAAATATAATAAAGTTGACTTAAAGAGCAATAGGTACCATTTGAATATTTCTTCCACAAGCTACAACTTAATGAAAAATCTTACAACGAACCCCTTAGTTTTCCCTCAGAACACAAGCAAATTTTGACACGGGGACACATCTGCCATGCAGAAATTTGGGTTCCCAGAACATGCTTTTCCTGCTGTTCCCTGTCCCACCCTTGGGCAGGGCTGAGGAGCTCAGCTCATGTGTGTGACAGTGGCACAAGTCCCACATGGCTTTCCCAGGCTGTGCCACCCACCTGGTATGCTTGGGGACTGTACATTGTGAGGTTGGGACATGGATGGGGTGACCTGATTCATGCGGGACGCATACCCTGCCATGGACATGGGCCAGGTGGGAGGAAGAGTAGGCCAGCCCTGGTGGCTCCTACTCGATTCAGGTGGGTGGAGGAGGTGCTGAGTCACGCTTCATTAAGCTGAGAACTCACAAAAGAAGCAGCATCATTAACATCTTGCAGCCTCTCGGTCCCTCCTGCCCAGGCTACGCCAAGTCACAGGATGGGGCACAGCCCGCCCTCAGCGTGACTCCGCTTGGCGGTGGCATCACCCAAACGTGGCTTGGCTCTGCTGCACCTCCAGAGGGAAGGTTTCTCAATTTGCCTGGGCTTGAACGGTACATTTAACTGGGATTCACCATGAGGCGCAGCCTGGGCCCTGCCCGTCCTTGAGTCACGGAGTATATCATCAAGGGAAGCCTATTCGGATCACCATGGGAGCGGCATGCATCAGCCCACGTCACTTGCTTTCTGTTCCAGGCCACACAACCATCCTTGGGCAATATGGACCCCAGCCTCCCGAATGCTTACTGGGCCCCCTCAGCTTTTGCTGCCCATTCCCAGTGTGGTTATACTGCCAATGTATCCGTAAGCCACAAAGACCCATCACACTTTGGACTCTATTTACCTGCATCTGAATTTAGATGCTGGATATAGTTCTGGTTGCTGGGCACTCAGGAAACGTTTCCAGCCAGAAATGAGATCTGAAAACCCATCACCTCCAGCAGAGATCTTTCCTGAGCCATGTATAGAATTACAGAATCATGGAATCAGGGTTGGAAAAGATCACTAAGATCACCTAGTCCAACCAAATAAGCTCCCTAAACCTGTAGAGAAAGAAGAAGAGGAAGAAAAACCTAGAAACGTGGGGATGCTGGTGAGAGTTCTGGGTTTTTTCCTTGCTTGCAGCCTCCACTTGGGCTCCCACAGGCTGTCCCTGCTGCAGTTAATCGCAGGGATGGTGCTTGCTTTGTAACCTGACCTCCTTTGAAGTGCCGGGCAGAGATGGTGTACCTGGCTGGAATGTGTTCTGTCATCAATAAACAAAAAGGAGAGGAAATTGTTTGCAAGTGAAATAACAGGCACTGCCCGTGGCTGTGTACACATGTCGCAGGAAAAACCAACACATTTTTTCCCCTTCTCCTTCTGTCAAGGCAAATAAGTTCTCCTGATGAATGCAGAACAGCCAAATCTCCTTGTCCTTCTGCTGGCTTAGCCCTAGTGATTCCTTCCACTAGACTAGGTCAGATGCTCATGTAGAAAACTACCTCTGCTATCACCTCATCCAATAGAGCTCCTCTTCACCTGGGAGAGCCAACGTGCTGATATCAGCAACAACTCTCCTCAGTCCCTTACAGAGTGGAGGAGGTTTTTGCTGTTTGAAAGTTTGAGGTGTTAGTTTTTGACAGACCTTTCAGCAGAGCAGTTTCCCTGCTGCATGGGACCAGCATTCATCCCCAGGTATTTATGTAGAAAAAATTTAAGTCCATAGAATCATAAAATCATTTGAATAGGGAGGGACCCTACAAACTACCTAGTCAAACTCCTCTGCAATTAACAGGGACACCTACACTAGATCAGGTGCTCAGAGCCCTCTCCAGCCTGAGTTTGCATGTCCCCAGGGATGGGACATCCACTATTTCTCTGGGCAACCAGTGGTTGCCAGTATCTCACTGCCCTTATTGTTAAAAACTTCTTCCTTACATCCAGTCTAAATCTTTCCTCTTTTAGTTTGAAACCATTTCCCCTTGTCCCGTCAAGCCCAGCAGATGTCTGGCTGGTCCTCCACTTTCACCTCTGGTCAAGGGACAGGAGACTGTTCCTACAGACTCTTTCAGAAGCACTCACTGAAAAAAGCAGAGGGCAGAGCCCAGCAACAAGACCTCTATTTCCAGCCTAGAAGTTCCCAGGGCCAAAGTGGTGCTGGATGGCAGAACCACAGCTGGGTACAGGTTGGGGAAGACCTGAGTGGGCACCAAACAGTGGGGACCGGTCCTGCTGGGCTGAAAGGGTTACAAAACCATGTGCTGGTCTGGGTGGAAGAAGGAGGAAGTTATTTTATGGAGACTGCAACACCAGAAAGAACATGAGAAGGCATTCACGCCTTACAAGAACAGAAGGTGTTTGGGCTGCAAGGAGAGTAGATGGGGAGGGCCGAACTGCTGAGCCAGCACTTGGCCTCACAGGGCAGAGGCAGCGTGTGTTTTGCAAACTGCAGCCTAATCGCCTGCCTTCTCCCCACCTCCACCCCCCTGCACACATCTAAATCCTTCAAAGCAAGGAAACTGGAGAACTTTCTGTTTGTTGTTGCAAGGTCCTTTCACCGAGTGGGTTTTCCCCCCAGGCGAATCTGGCTGTAATTAAATCCCTAGCTCTTTAATCATCCCTCTTGCTGCAGAGAGAAATAAAAAAGCAAGAGGGACAGGCTGGTGATAAGATGATAGGCAATGTAAATCTCTCCTCCAGGAATCTCTCTCATCTTTCCAGAATCACTTGGTACAAACTTGTCCCTCCAGAAGCTGCATGGCTGGAGGTGGGGTTTGTACAACAATGCCTATTAAGCTCAGTAAACAGAACAGATGTCTTATGATTTCTCGGTCCTCAGGGTAATAAACACCTACCCCTTTGTCCCACCTTCAGTTTTTGTTTTGTGTGCTTTACGAAAAAAAAAAAATCCTTACAGGAAAGTTCCTCCTGTCTATGCCTGGAAATCTGAGCATCAGATGTGACTTCATATTCTAACCAGGGACTGCAGGTATTCTCCTTGCCTAATCCTCTGGCAGCTTTTCCCAAACACAAGTACTACATCTGGAAGTCCTCCATGCCATTGCGTTCCCAACTCCAAGAAAAGATGGAGCTTAGGTCAACTTCTGGCTATTATGCAGTTATTTTAAATGTTACGTGATTATGAAATTAATCGTTCTCTGGAAGAAAAATGAATGACATCCCACACTCCTCCTAGGCACTCAATAAGAGGGAGATTTTGTCCACACAGGCCCTGGGATCACAGCTCTGGAGGACAAAAGGCACTACATCCCTGATGGGCTCTCAGACCTCTCACTGGAGACCCTCTGGTGAACAGACAAAACTGCTTCAAACATATCACAAGCAAAGGGGATTTCTGCAGAGCAAGGCACTGCACTCCTTCTACTCCCTACCTTCCATCTTCATTTCATTATTTCCCATGAGAAATCTCCTCCTGCCCACAGCCAGCTACACGCTGTTGGGGTGCAGAGTGTGATTCACCCTCTCTGCTTTCTGCTTCTCCAGCACCATCCAACCTTACCTTCCCTGGGCTGCTCCCAGCCTGCCCCATATCCTCTGCTATCAGAAGATGCTCTTTGCCTAACTGCAAATAGGTGCAGCTGATGGTTTCTCCCAGGTAATCATTAAATAGATGCATAAGCTTGGGCCACTCAGGTCCCCCAGACCACCTTTTGGAAGTGAGATGCTCACAGATGTCCTCCGTCTGCACAGGAGACAAAGCCCTCACCTTCCAAAGGGCAACTGCTTCTGTGCTGATTCCCCTACACAACAAGGACCTTGGGATACCCATGGCGAAGTTCTTGGGTTGCCTATCTGAAGGTAGACAGGCTGACTCAGTGCGATTCCACATCTGCTCTCTAGGCTCTCTGCAGCTGGCTTGAAGGGTGAGAAACTCAAATGCTGGCGATGCGTTGGCTGCCTCTCACTACAGTAGGTTAAATGAGGCTGAGAAGTTGAAAAATTAGGTTAAGCAATTGGAGTGTAACACCCCCAGGGCAGGAGAGGAAAGCAGGAATCACTGTCCCTGGAGACGTTCAAAAAACGTGGAGATGTGACCCTTAGGGACATGGCTCAATGGGAATGGTGGGAATGGGTTGGGATTGGACTGGATGATCTTGGTGGTCTTCCCAATCTTAATGATACTATGATTCTATGAAACCTGTGCAGCTTTTGAGCCCCTTGGTGGCATGTGCTGAGAGCAGGAGGCTGTGACTATGCCCTCCTGCCCTGCAGACCAGATCTGGGTGCTGTGTTCAATGTCCACAGGGATGTTTGGTGTAAACAGGATGCAGCTCACTCTTTATTTCCCCTTTTCACTTCTCCAACAGCCACACCTATCTTTAAAGGCCCTCAGATGTGGCCCATTTCCAGCTGCAGGAGGAGGGGGGCAAATGAGAAGGGGCTCAGAGCAATCTGGAGAAAACCTCCTGCAATATTCTATAGAAGGGCAAACTGAGGAATGAGAAATCAGAGCTGAGGATCTGCTTGATGAAATGCATTGAAAAGAACATTATATTTGTTATGAATAAAGCTATAATTTAGCAAGCGAAGTGGGGAAGCCAGTCAGCAGATACTAATCACATTCACCCACCTTGTCGGGTGGAATTTGCTTGCACCCTAATCTGCATTTTTATCTCCTGCAGTATCAGTGTGCTGCACAACAGAGACAAACACACCTGAAAGGCCAACTGAGGAGCGATGGAGGCTGCAGCCCTGGGGTGGGACAGAGTCACTGCAGTACATCTCCTGCATGCACCTCCCACCAGTGTGGTCGTAGCAGAAAGCACCCCTAAAACATCAGCTCAGCCACAGCCTTTGAGGCAGGCTGTTCCAACCAGAGTCCCGATCAGAAAGTCAGGACACAAACCTATGCCTGGACTACAAACCTCAAAGCACCACCCTAAAAAAGTGAATTTTCTTTGTAACTTACAACTGCTTCACTCCTGCATTTCTGAAGTCCAGAGCCACATGCTGTTGAACAGAATGGACAGAAACTGCATGCCAAGATGAGAGTGAGCTGCCTGGCTGACAGCAGCCAATTTTTGTGCCAAACACCTGGGGCAAAGCCTTCCCAGTAAGGCAGATACTGCACCTGAGTCTGGAGGCACTGCTGGATCACATAGCGTGGCTATGGGTATGGCTGGCACTATGGGATGAAACCCAACTCCTGGAACTGTGGGAAGGGCCAAGTCCCTGGCTTGCACTGACATCTGATTACTTGCTAGGGAGAAAAGTGAAGGCGGCCTTCCAGGACCGTGTCCATTTGTAGGGCTCATTGGCGCAGCACGCCAGGTAACCTTATCTACAGCAGTTTCAACCAAACAAAGCTGGGAAACAGCAGCACGAAGACAGACAGAAATCCCAGACCCAGCGGCACCATTCTGGCTCTATCGATCAACACAAAGCTGTCCCTTCCAGGTTGCACAAGGATCATTTCACCTTTGTTGCTATAATCACCTGTGATACCCAGCTTGAAACAACAACAACATAACCATGCAGAAATCCCCAATGTGATTTTCATGCAGACATATATCGTAGGGATCAGAGAATCACTAAGGTTGGAAAAGACCTTTAAGATCATCTAGTCCAACCATCAGATTAAACTGCTACATCTACGTAAAGAGTTCTTAAAGTGCTCTCTACGTTCAGAGGGGGAAAAAGACTTCAGAGGACAACTCTAAGGCTTGAATGCATCCTAGAGATCCTGGTCTAGGAGGTGGCACATGAAGACTAATGTAGAGCAGGCCTCCATGAGACCTCATATTTGGGCCAGATGTGTGCTATGGGAAGCAGCTGCTGATCATCTCACTTGCAGCAGCAAAACTGGTTTCCTACCCAATGCAAATGACAGCAAGTGTGACGCACATGGGACTGAGGCACAGACCACCAAACATCCCCCTCCCAGAGCAGCAACAGAGAAGGTTGCTCAGATCCAGAGGTTTGACCCCACTCATGGATGCACAGCCATGCCTATTGGCTGCTCTGCTAGGGTGTGAGACCAACACAATGCCAGATCCAGATCACAAGGGACTAAAATTGCTATTTCACAGATGGGGAGATCTTCTGAATCACACAGGAACTCTGCGGCACTGCCCAGGAAAGCAAGGCATTCTAACAAGACCACCCTCCTTCAGGATATTGCTTGCCTTGCATTCCTGCCTTCCGTTATAGCCATCTGTTGCTCTTCCTGCAGAATTATTAGCCTCTTTCTCCAAATAACACAGCACCATTATTTTGGGCTGCACTATCACCATTATTTTTGGTTGTGCTATGACATAATTCAGCTAATTTTTCACTCTTGTCCATTTTGCCAATCTCCTAACTGTGTTCCATGGCCCATCCTTTTTTTTTTTTTTTTTTTTTGAAAGTACAAGCTCGCTGCACTAGTTTCCCCACAGTCCTCCACAGAAGGAACGAGTCCTTCCTCTACACTGAGGGCATCTGCAAAAATGCCAGTAAATGCACCTACCTACCTACACAAATTCACAGGTGCTACTAAGCAAATGTAAATGAGCTAACCTACAGAACTGAAAACCTTGTAATTGAGGCCTGTTAGCTTCAATGTAAGTTTTGTTGCAGGAACCAGGATGACATGCCAGTCATTGGAAATCTTGGCTCCAAAGCTTAAAGATCCACAAGAGGTGACAAGGGGAGAAGGTCTCCAAGACATTGCTCACTTTACTTGCTTTCCATTCCAAGGAACAGAATAAATTTGGAGGCACTTTAATTTTTTGAAGCTGAATTACACATAGCAGAGCTATGAGTGTATTTATGATCTGCGTGTCAATATTATGCCTGGATTTGAGAGAATATGTGTAAAAAATGTGGCAAGGTACACATCAGACAGCAGTATGGCACTTCACTTACCATCTGAAGGACACCAAAATATGACATCAGGTATCCAGACTCCACTGCTTCCAACCCAAAGAACTCAATCGAGATGATGGAAAACATAACCAGGAACAAACCTAGAGTGAGGGTTAATGAGAAATACACTTCAGTATGCCCTCAGCACGGCACTGGCCCAACCTCTGCTCCCAGCGTGAGTCAGGAGCTCTCCCTGGGTTTATAGGCACTGGATATAAATAGGAGCAGAATCCTACTCAAAGCCAGTAGAGCAATTTAGTCTTTAAATGTTCACTTTTTTATCCCCTTTACTTTCATCTTGAAATAATGTGACTATGTAGGCTGTAGGTTCAGCTGTTTATAATAAACTAGTAAATATTTTTATCACCCACGGCAGACTAAGTATTAAGGCAGCAAGAAAACATTTGTTCAGACAAGACTGTAACCATAGAATAATCTGATTGGATTCCTCCTCCCTTTTGCCTAACTTTAGCTTTTCACCATTGGGAACGCTGCCTGGGAAACAAGCCGGTGACATCAGACTAAACAAAAAGGTTTCACTGCACACCCCAGCAGCAATTTCAGCCCCACGTGAAAACTCCCATGGCTTGAGTGGTGTCAACAGAAACAATTGGGGAAGTACGGACAGGAACAGCAGGCATGAGGTGTGCTCGTCTATTAAGGCAGTTTCTGGAGGGTGCTGGGGAAAATGCCCACTCAGTCTTACCTAAAAATGCAATTGTGTGCATTTCCCACGGCACCTAATATACACAAACATAGAGATGTGTATGTGTACTCCATTATACACAAATTGCCACCAAATCAAAAACATTCATAGAATCATAAGGTTTGGAAAAGACCACTAAGATCACCTCGTCCAGCCATCTACCCATCCCCACTGTTGGGACAAAACATTGCTCACTGAAGAATGGGCTTGCGGTATGCACCTGCTGCCTCTGTCAACACATTTCAGGTGGACAGACAGCAGGAAATTGGACTGTGTGTGTCGGCATCCCAGTGCTGCTGGGAGAGGAGGAAAGAGCCAACGACCTGCAGGGGTCTGCTCCTGCCCTGCTTTGTAGGGCCCACCGAGGTGCACAGACCTGGTGAGCTGGGAGCTGCAGTCCTCTCTGTAATGACAAAAGAGCACAGGAGGAAAGGAGTGAGGACTGAGAGCAGCCTGTGGCCTGGCTAGGTGAGTCACTAGCCCGCAGAACAGGAAGGCTCTCACCCGCATTTCCTGGAAGTGTGGGGAGAGCCATCTCCAATTGCTGACTACAGTGTGTTTCATTCACCCCAAGCACAACCACATCCACCCATTGCGGGCAGAAAATGCAACCTGTTTTCCATATATGCCCCATTTGGACACAAAATGCACTTTTTCAGTGAAATTCTACAAAAGATAAAACTCACACTGAAAGCTTCAGGGGTGGGTGAGATGATGGGGAAATGGTCAGTTCTGCAGTGTCCTCAACTGACCTGCCCAAAATCTGCCTTTGGATGGAAGGATGCACACCCAAACTGATTGGCCCAACTGTCCCATGTCCAGCAGGTTTCTGGGGCTCCTTTCCTCACTCAGCTGGTGCTGGGCAAAATGAAAAGCACCTCACCCTGCTGCTTCCCATTGGTCTGGGGAAGGTGCTGGTATGCCTGATGCTTGTGAAGATTTTTGGCTCAGTCACAGCACTCTGCGGGGAGGGCCCACTGTTATCCTGTTGCTTTGAAACGCCTCCTAGCTCAAACCAGGTTAGGGTAACATGCAAACAGCAGCGTTTTCTCCTCACATCCAAAACAGACAACAGAGCTGCAGATGTTTATAAAAGACACACGTGAAGAAATGAAAGAAAAACCACACTTGGCTTTACTCACAGGGAGATCAGATCAGGGTGCATCTCCTTTCACCCAGCAGCCTCACTGCGCTACCACCCGGCAGGACTCAGCCTTCCTACATTGCTGCCTCTTCCCAGTGCCATGCTGCTTGCAGCTCTTGCAGCTAAGCTCTTTTGAAGTCCTTCACCCAGCTTAGGTTTTGATCTTTGTGCTGCAAAGGAGCTCATTTCTTTCTGCTCAGGGAGGTAGCTGTGCTCCTTCATAGGCATTGCACATTGCACTGAGGGACATGGTTTAGTGGTATGGTGATGGACTAGATGATCTTAGTGGTCTTTTCCATCCTTAATGATTCTATGTTTCAGTTTCATGGCTACCTCAGGATGCAAACATCCCTCAGATGGGAGCTACCCTATGCCCATACAAGTGCCTGGGCAAAGCAGACCCTCCTTGTCCCCTCTTCTTTCAGCGACTCACAGGATCTCAGAACTTCACCTTCCTGGGGATGCCCGCACCAGGAGCGAACCCTTCATAAAACCTTGCACCGAGCAGCAAATAATAACGGGCATGCAGCATGAGGCAGGTAAACGTTTTGTAAGATGCAGTAAAAGGGAGGAAGAGCACCAAAGAGACAGCAAGCAGCAGCTTTGGGAGGCTGTATATGGCAAAGTTTCAGTAGCAGGGTGGGGGGTGGTCTGCAGAGGTAGCCACTGTGAGAAGGGAGCAGGTTTTTTCAAGCCCATAGATTCCTACAAGAAGCTATTATCAGTATTTTCAAAGCCCTAGTGATCTCCAAGCACCAAGGGCTGTTTGACATTTCTGCCCTCATGTTTGGCTTTCAGTCTACTATCTACTGCAAGGCCATGACACTCACGTTATTGAGCAGGCAAATCAGCCATGCTGGAGACCCCTACTGCCCCTCCATTTCGTGGCAGCTCAGCTTCCAGCAGGAGCATGGAGCCACCTGTGTTTTGATGCAAACCAGGGAGGAGGTTCCCAACCCTGCAGCCCTCTTGGGAAGGCTCTTTCTGTCTCAAACATACTCATTTTGGACAACGATGAGATCTGTATGGAACAGGAGATTCTCCTCTGTGTATATCACGCACTTGTTTACAAGGTAAACAAAGAGAAGTCTGTAATTTGGCTGGTCTAATTAATTACACAGTTGCAGAAGGGAGATGAAAGGTGAATGAGACCAGTAGGAGCTCAGCCTCCAGCCATAAGTTGCAAAGGAGGAAGGGATGTCCAAATCCTCTTCTGGACGCAATCCTATGGGTCAGCGACCCGAAGAGAGTCCTGTGAACAGAAGTGCCTGGGATTGTAATCACTTCTAGGCATTCCGTTCTGCTTGTAGCAGGAATGCCTCCAGTAAACTCATTCCTGCTCATCATGAGTTACTCCCACCCATTTCAGTAGCAAGTAGCCCATGTCCTGCCATGAATCTCAGCCTTACATTCCATCCTTTTTGCCTACACGTTCCCTTGCAGTTGGGGCAGGAGATGTTTATTTTGGTCTGGTGTTCATTTTTGCTGTGCATGGGAAAAGAAGAATGTCTTCTGCAACAAAGAGGCATCTGTATTTCAGCAGCAATGACTAATCAAGGGTGCATCTCACCCATCTGTTGGAAAAAGGACAGTGCACAGGAAATTACAGTGCAGATTACAAATGGATGTGGTCTCAGTATGGTGTTTTTAAACAGGGAAGAGAATACTGCTTTAAGCTGAGAAATGAGACAGAATTGGAAAAGAAAACCCTGTTAAAACATCACTTGGCTATCTTCTTCTATGAAATGCTGCCATTTTATAAACCTTTAAAACACGGTTTTAAAGGTTTCATAAGAATCTAAGAGATGCACACTTTGGGCAAGCCACCCGTCCATAGAGGTGCCTGTTCTCTCTCTAGCGGTGGGAGCAGGACCAGCTGGCATCATTGATCTCAGCCAATGCCAAGTATGCACTAAAACAAAAGAAAAAAATCAGAAACACTTTTCTTCCTTTCATGTTATTCTACAGCTCCAGTCAGTCTTGGCAAGATGTTAGAAGAACCTGGTCATGGCCAGAAACGACATCCCCATCTCATTCAGCCACTCTCTTTAGTCAAATCTACCTTCATTTGTAAATTGAATTTACAGTTTACAAACCACAACTTGATCACAGAATCTTAGAATCATCAAGGTTGGAAACAACCTCTATGATCATCTAGGGCAACCATTCCACCTACCTACCTAACGGAGCATTGGGTCTGTGCTACACAATGGAACATGTCAAGACTGTGAATGAATCAACAGGAGCAGGGGGACGGGTGGGTTTGGGGTATGTTTGAAGCAGTGCATTATGACCACGACATGAGAAAAATCAGAAGAATATTCACAGAGAAGAACAAGCACTACCACCATCAAGCAAAGGAAGAAATAAAAGCAAGTGGCTCCCTTGTGCACAGCAGAAATTAACAACCTGTCTGACCACATCTTGTCCAGCTATAGCTTTAAATTGTTGGGGAAAAGTTAGGCTATGCATCCTTCCCTCCTCTTAAAATCATTAACTAAAATCAAGAGGGACATCAGTGTTTTTGACAGGGTACATTCAACTTGCCTCTGCTCTGAAGAGGTTCCAGCCTAAACAGAAATGACAGACAATAGAACTATCCTTTTACAGCCATGGGACGAGGCAGAGCAATTAAGTGATATGCCAAAAGTCACAAAAGCAGCCTATGACTAGTGGTCTGTTTTACATTAATTCCAGATTTTTGACTCTGTGTAGCTGAGAGCATCTGGAAGTACAAGTGTTGAGGTACGAGCCAAATCCCCACTTCTCCGTGATTACACACAGTGTGGTTTCAGTAACTTCAGACTAGCCCAGTCTCCAGTGTATGTCTTCTTATTATAAATACATCAGCAACCATGGTAAAGAGTGAGATTTACCTATGGGAAGTCCAGAAAGGACCTTGACTAAGAAGATTTCCATTACTCCCGGAAACTTCATCACGCGTAGGATTTCTCTGACGTTGAATACACTGCCTACAGAAGATAACATATCGAATAATGTTATGTATAAATAGGTTAGAGGTAGGGAACAAGAAACTCTCCCCATCATGGTGAGTACTTGTTGCTTGTAATAACAGTGTTCTACACAGCAGGCAATGACTCTCCATGTGATGCTTTCTGGGAAGGGCAAATCCTAATAGGAATGGTATGAGTGTGTAGATAACAGTGCAAGAGTTAATTCTACTGTGGGACTGAATTTGGCAGTTAAAGCTTTGAGCTCAGAAAACTGAGTTGAAACTGTGGACAGTCCATATGCAAAATGAATTAGATGACTGCATCCTCAGCATTCCTAAATCCTTCTCATCTGACTCGAACTCCTCTCCTGGGAAGTACTTTCTCACAAGCATTAAGAGGATGAGGCACTGTGAGCAAAGAGGGGCACCTTTCTGTCCATAAACACAATCCCAAACCCTTTATCAGAGCATTCCAGCTGCCCTATTCATGTGCTATTTAATAAAATAACTAAATACTTACTGTTTTCTGTCTTACGTTGTTCTGACTTCGGCTTAGCTGGAGAGGGGATCCAAACTATTGATATAACGGTATTTATGAGACTTCCCACCAGCCCCAAATACATGGGAACAAAAACGCTGCAAAAAGAAAAAAAATAATACAGGTAAGAAAGAAGTCATAATAAACAGAAGACAGATGCTCCTCCATCCTGCAAAGTCTAGAACAATTGGCTGTGTTAGATGAGGAACAACTCCCTTGAAGCTGCAATATGTAAGGCTATAAAAGATCGCACATGCAGATGAAGTACCTGTGAGGATCCATCTAATTACCCATCTAATCCCAATTTCATTCAGTATTATCTCACTGCTTGCAACTTCTCAGTGAAATCAAATGAAGTTCAGGAGTGAAGGAAGTGCTCAGGACCATCACAGATGGTGGAATACAGCCCAGCATACAAGCAGACCTGAAAACAGCAGAGATACATCACCACTTGAAAAGAAATCACTAAAAATATCAAACATGATTTACAAAACTTTCTGAGGAGGTGAGTAAGTAGCACAGGGATTGATGCGTTTTCTTTTCTCTGAAGGTGCTCCAGACCGTATCAACAACATTTCATCTGTCCATCAGAGGCCCAAACTTTTGCTCTTTGACCAACGTGGGCCACATCCTTAGATGTAGATCCAGTTAACAATTACTAACAGTAGTGTTATAATGATGAAAAAGAACAATTGCAAGTTATCTAATAAAACCCAAACACAAAGTAGGCAAAGGTCAACAGAGTCAATTAGAAGTCCTCAATTATCACCATCCTCTTAAAAGAGGAGATTAGGAAGCAACTCCTCCTGGACTTTAAAGGCTCATAGGAAGATTTTAGACTGATGGCTTTAATACCAGCAAACAGAGCTGGAACAAAGCCTAGGGCTGGAAGACTGAATCTCAGGAAACTCAAGTTGAAAACCGAAGAAAAACTATCCTTTGTGTTTTACAGCAAGAGCAACTACCCACTAAGCAAACCAGCTCATTAGCAGTAATTCCTATCATGTTGATCCTGAAAGTCAAAGGGGATTTCTTTGTAAAATGTATGCTTAAAGCCTATTTCAGGGTACAGATTTGGGGTGGAAATTCCCAGCTGAAATAGGCCAATGTCACAAAGGGGACAAGACGATATGACCATTGCACTTTGGCCCTTAGCAAAGCAATGTGTGGACAGGGAGATGCCTCCATTCACTTGGAGGTGAATGTGCCATCACCTCATCAAATGGGACACAAAAGAGACCTGCAAGATGGGAACCACTGCTTTCCATGCACCTGCTGGCAGACATCAGCCATCACGTGGCTTTTTACTGCTGCTTTCCTTGTCAGACCATGGTGTATGTTTTCCATGGAATAGCCAGCAGCTCTAATTGTAAAAGCCTCAAGTTTCCCCTGCGCTAGGAAAGGTGCAGTGTGAATAATTTCTGGAGCGTTATGGAGACAACCAAGGTTTGAGATGCAAACAACTAAGAAAAGCATCAAAGGGCAAATATATATATATGTATGTATATATACGTATTCCTGTTAGTAGCAACAAAGGTAGATAATATCTTCCTGCTAATGGACTTAGAGCAGTAATTTAGACCTGCTGCATTCTACCTGCCAAGCTGTTCCACTAATTACCCTGGACCACAAAATTAGTAATTTACTGGGTCATTATTTTTTCATTTTAATGCAGCAGATTGTCCTTTTCTGATTTAAAATTATGTACTGAACTGTTCCCAATCCACTGAAATCAACTTTTTGACCCAAGTTATCCAGATATCCAAGGAATCTGGAATTTGTAGTTTGCATTGCAACATAAAGAAACTTTGTTAACAAAAGAGGAAAAAAAAAAAAAAATAAAAGGAATCAAGAGAAGTAACTGCTCCAGCTGGATTCTTTTTTCTTTCTTCCATATTTCAAGTTTTATTCTGATGTGGAAAAAATGCATCACAAAAATTTTCATTGGGCAGAAAAAACGTTTCCTTTCCAGTCCTATTTTCTCCTGAGGTTTCCCCTATATCCCGCATGCCAACACAAACACATTCTACTCCTCAGGTCCAAGAAGAACCGCAGCAAGGGCCAGCAAACAGTGAAGGAACACCTGACAAAACCAGTATGTAATTAACGTACTTCACTGAAAGCAAAGGACCAATAATTCATTGTTAGGAAAGGGAGGGGAGAACCTCAAAATGCTGCACATTCAGAAAAACCCGGGCTTGCCTTCATAGATTCATGGAATTCCATACACTCAAACCCTGAATTCAGGGAAATTCAGCAAAACACTGAACTCAAAACCACATTTCCCAGAAAGTCTGAAGCATTCAAAACCATCTGAAGATCCCTTTTCATAACCATAGCATTCTGCAAGTGCCCACCTACTAGCATTATTAGCATTTCCTGGTGGTAACAGGGGAGATTCACACAGCTTGTCTCACATGGCAGAGACAAACTCTGGGGCTGGACGTAACGTGCCCGTGTCCTGGAAACCACCTCTCTCATTTGTTTGTTTGCTTGCTTAAGAAAGATTAAACAAAACCAGCAGTCATAAAACTGCAGTATTGATGCAGCAGGCCATTCATTACTTTTTTTTTTCTTCCTGATTTTTCTGTTAGAACACGTGAACTTGCTTCCCTTGGAAGCACCTGTTCCATGCCTTTATTAAACTTTGAAGAGCCCATTTCTTATGCAATACAAACGGTAAAATGTCAGCTTTAAATACAGAGACCTGAGCACCTCATTGCCATCAGGAATGGAGTCAGTTCTGCCTGTGCTCTTACTGGGGGTCCCAGCAGCACAGGGCAAGAGAACGGGGAAAGCAACCTCTGAGCCATCCAAGTCACAGCCTCTCTAAAGGAAGATCTGCAGCTGGGAATAGACCCTGGCTTTGCATGATTACACTTGTGTCATACTACATAGCTGTGCCACCAACCAGTGGGGTTACTGACCAAAGAAAACCCAACCAAAGCTGCAAGGCAACCGTCAAAGGGTACTTTTTACAGGCTTTAAGGTAGGGGTATAGAAATGAAAGATGAATATTGAAACAGGCTGCCCAAGGAGGTGGTGCACGCTTCTCTGTGTATGGGAAAAAACCCAACCCGCACCCATGGAACTGCTGGGAGTGGTGCTGCACCCTGAGCAGGTGGGTGGGAAGAAGGTGTTGATAGTCAGGAGGATGGAATAGACTGCATCCCGTGACAGCTCTGAGCAACAGCTTCTTTCTTTGCTTGTTTGGCTTATCAGAAAGGGACTTCCGCCAGGAAAGGAAGCGGCGGCACTACTAAGACAAATGAGGCACATAAACAAGGCTGCTGCCGTGGGACTTCTCCCCTTCCCCTTCCTGCCTCCCCCTCTGTCCCTGCACATCAGCCACAGAGCCAGCATGCATCCTGCCAAAAACAGAAGCAGATTTCCTGAACAACAGGAACAAGGAAGGCCACAGTCAGAGCTAATGCTGTTACATTAAAAGACTGATTTTTGCTGTGTTGATAGCTTGCTCTGATTTTAAGCTTTCAGAAACATGATGAAAACACAAGCAGAGGTTCCAGGAAACCAGGAGCCCATAACATAGAGCATCATTAAGGTTGGAAAAAGACCACTAAGATCATCTGGTCCAACTGCCCACATATCACCAACACTGCCCACTGATCCATGTCTCTAAGTATCACATGTGCACATTTCTTGAACATTTCCATGGATGGCGACTCCATGGCTCTCCTTGGCAGAAACATCAGTCAAATACTCTTCAATAACCAAAGCTTTTCCTCTCCCCTCCTCCCTCCCCCACCTTTTGCCATTTTCCTAAAACTGTTAAGACAGTGTGGCATTAAAAGCACTTCCATGGAGGTAGCAACCCAAGAGAGGAGAACTGGAGGTGCCCCTAGACACCATGCAAAGCCCAGAAAAGAAAGCAGCACTTGTATTTCAAAGCCTGTGTTGTAGCCCGTGACTGTTGATGACAGAATGACAGGTAGGATTTCCCATCTGGAAACTCCATCCCTAACGTTGGTGGGAAAGCAGAATTAATGACAAAACCATGAATAATAAAAACACGGTAAAGAGATTAAACCCAGCAAAAATATTAGTGTTTGAAGTTGGCTAAAAGATGGTTGAATTTGCTCCCCTCTGTCACTCAACCAACCTTTGCATTTACTGTCAAGTACTGTAAAACAGCACCTATTGTGGGATACTCATTTAAGCAGGGGGATTGGGCTTGGTGATACGTGGAGGTCCCTTTCAACCCCTACAGTTCTGTGATTATGCTTTTTATTGCACAGGGCATCCCTCAGCCCGATTTCAGTATCTCCAAAAATAAAGGACAAGGAAAATCAGCAGGACAAACATGTGCCTTTTCCACAGATGGCACCTTCACCCCAAGTGCTGCATGCCCCTGATATCACAACAGGTCACACAAGAAGCATCAGAAAAACCTGATGGACATTATACCCAATGCAGATCTTGGAAAGCAGGTCCTGGCCAAACAAATGTGGATGTATACACATTAATGTGGGCATATATGTGTGAACACCTACAGAGCAGGTGTGCAGTAGTTCTTGGTGGAAGTACCTCTGGTCGTAACAAAACCTGAGGCTTGCTGCTGGCCAGGAGGCTGCACTGGGGCTGTGTGTGCAGTGAGATAGCATCAGCCACATTCTGATTAGCATTCCAGCCACAGAGCCCTGCTCTGCATGCAAAGCACGGGAGAAAATGTGCGTGTGTAATTGCACAATTAAATGTTGCATCAATACAGCAATTCTTTCAAGTAGGAAGCTGTTCCCGATGCTTCCCTGAGGATTAAAGGATCAATGTGTATTTCTGAAGTGAATGGGATTGTGTTTGTTTTCTTTCTCTTTTTCTTAATAAAGTCAAAGTTGAACATGGAGAGAGTGCAGATTGCTTTTTAGTGACTCACTCCTACTTCAAAACAATGCTGTATAAAGCATGCATTCATAGCTAGCCCAGATTCCTTAAGGAGCTCTGAAAGGACTCTCAAAATATTTCTTTGATTGCAGTCCGGCCACACTCTCCACTCATCCACTCACACCCTAAGAGAGGGGCAGCCAGGGGGAACAGCTGGTTGTTTGGAAGGAAAAGAAAGGCAAAAAACTGAGATGAAAAA